TTGGGGTCATTGTCCTCAAGGCCTGTTGGGCCAGGATGTGCTCCAGTCTCGCCTCCTCCCCCGTCATCTGCTCCTGTGTGCTCTGGTCAGATATATCCTTCTCCCGAATGTATGTTGTTTTTTTATAAGCCAACCCTTATCACCTTCAAAGTAATCTTCCATTACACTTAATACATTTTTCAAATCTGCAATTCCATTATTGGAAGCATTTTTTAAACTCATCTGTTTGCATGACTGACAGCACCTCCTTCATTCATATTCCCCTTCATTCACAGAAATGAAAAGAAGCTGTACTGAGTGAGGTCAAGTAAGTCAGGTGTTTGGGGCAAGAGAGGCATGCTGTTTTTTGCCCAAAACTGGTGCAGTGAGATGGCTGTGTGAGCAGGTTCATTGTCATGGCAAAACTGGTCTCCTGGGGGGCCACACAAATCAAGTGGCTTTTTTTGTCCTACTTTGTTACACAATAATTTTCAGAACCTCTAAACCAGCAGTTCTCAACCTATGGGTCGTGACCCCTTTGGGGGTCAAACAACCCTTTCACAGGGTTTGCCCAATGGAGAACAGTAGCAAAATTACACTTATGAGGTAGCAACGAAAATAAGTTTATGGTTGGGGGGAGTCACCACAACATGAGGAACTGTATTAAAGGGTTGTGGCATTAGGAAGGTTGAGAACCACTGCTCTAAATGGAAAGTTTGATTAACAGTCTGACCTGGTGGAAAGAACTCCAAATGTACTATGAGTCACTATTTTAATTTGTTCAACAAGTTAACTTGTCCAGAACAAGTTTGGCACCAATTGACATTTCACCTTTTTTGAAATGAGGAAACCTCTCTTTACACTCAAATTGGCCATCAGAAAACATAAGGTTCAAGCGATACTGCTTTTACAAAAAAGTTCACTGTGACCTGAGAGAACCTTCCCAGGCAACACCACTGGGTGCACTAACTCAAAGCGAGTTGCTCAGTGCTCACCTGGCAGGAAAAATGTGTGCTACAAAAGCTCTGCTGCAATTCCGGATTTTGGGGGAATAAGCTAGAGACATAAATTAGGGATGTAAAATCAATGTAATACTTTATTTTTTGTCCCTAAGGTACCTGAAGCTCTTCACTTTTCTGCCCCTTGCAGAGATTAACCACATCATGCAGCAGCATGTTAAAGAGCCAGAGAAACGAGGTCCTCAGAAGCGCCTTGCTGCAGAAGTAATAAAGCTTGTTCATGGGAAAGATGGGCTAGAATCTGCTAAAAGGTATTCTTTTTAATAACTTAGACTTCATGAAATTATCTGGTTGATAGACTTGGGAAAAATTGGAGTCACTCTGTTTTAGGGTAAGCTTGCTATTTAACACCAATGAGGATTGTCATTGTTTGACATAAGTCCTTTAAAAAATAGCTTCTCTTTATTGGAGAAAACGAAGTATATCCTACGTTGTAAATTATAAAAGATTGATGTTGCTATTTCAGAAACTCTCATTGTGGAACATAGTGGATGAAGAAAAAGGGGGCAGGAATGGAATGCGAATATCGATTAACAGGCTCTATTGAGAGGCACAATCTGCCAGGTTTTTCCGGACTAAAGGGAGAGCAGAGAAGCAGGATGGAGGGAGAGCAGAGTAGCAAGGTGGAGGGAGATCAGAGAAACAGCGTGGGGAGAAGCAAAGTGGTAGAAGAGCTAAAAGCAAGAGCAGGGGCACAAGCGGTAAGTGATCAAGAAAACGAGACCAGGAAGTTACACACTAATATACCCTCGGAGTGGTGCCAAGTAGAGAGATTTGGGAGAGCATGTGTCTCTGGCAAATTTGAATGGGTAAACTCTGACACCCATGGAAGGTCTTTGGCTGCACAGGAAGATGTGGAGAGGATCATGGGAAGGAGCTCAAAATGGCTGGGTGCCGTTTTATGCTCAGCTGGACCCATTAATGGACACTCCATAATTGGTTATTGAGTAGTCCGGCTTGCATTTTGGTAAACACTCTCAATTTGGCTCTCACAATTTTGTTGTTCAGGTGCACACAAGCCCTTTATCACAACAGCATCGATGCTCTTGAGGCCATGTCTGATGAAGAGTTACGAGAGTTGTTTAAAGAAGCTCCGTTTTCTGAATTGGTTCTTGACCCTGGAACAAGCGTCCTAGATACTTGCCGCAAAGCAAATGCCATTCCGGATGGTCCTCGAGGGTAAGATAATTCCACTTTAAATTCATGGGTAACGCAACCTTACATGTTAAATTCACAGCACACCTTTTGAGAGAGGGTGTTTTTCTGATGCTTCGTTCATGGAGTCTCATTCCTGGCAGATGGGGTCCAGCCCTCCATTTGAAGCACCTATGGAGCGCAATTATCAACTCCGTTCTTGAGAACAGAGGGAGAAGAGTCACAAGTTTATTCAACAGTGGGTTTTATAAGCTCTTGAGGCGTACAAGCCTCTTGTTATACATAATATCAAACAAAGGCAATGTACCAGACTTGAATACTCCAAGGCCTCAAGGGGAATGCTTCAAAGGGAGTACCAGGCATGCAAGAGACAAGAGGTGCAAATACTCCTTAAGATGTGGAACAAAAGGAGCAAATGCTTTTGGAGATAAGCATACTTTCAACATACCCGAGGAGTCAGGCATCTGTAGGAGACGGCTTCATATTAGCATGTAGGGAGGGTGGGGCAGATGTGCTGTGGGGAACCATCCTTCCGGGAATAGTGTATTGATGTGCTATTCCCATATGGATGGCTTGCCAAGCCCTGTGGTTGTTAGTGACTGGAGTAGTCCACACACGCTGCTTCTACGCCCTCGGTTTCCCACACTGGCAGACCTTAGAGAATAAAGTGAAAACAGAACAGTTGTTGAAAATAATTTACATGTTCTGTATAAAGTACAGCACTATCTCATTAAGTCCAATCCAGTTTTCCTCCAGTATCTGGATAGGCTTGCATATACGAGACCACACTTTAGGCACTGGTGTCAGTGAGCCTATGGAAATAGAAGTGTGAAGCTTTCAAATAGATGCCCCTAGTGAACAAAATCACACCACCACCTTATTCAGTCTGTCTTTATTTGAATGAAGCAGGCAGGAGGGATCGCCTACCCTTTTAAATTGCTCGTGTGCATGTGACCGCTGGACGGGGAATAAGGAGGACCGAAGAATTGATGCCTTTGAATTCTAATATTGGCGAAGAATACTGAATGCACCATAGACTGCCAGAATGATGGACACATCTATATCTCTAGTAAGAAGTACAGCCAGAATGATCTTGAGCAACGTGGATGGCACGACTTTGCCTCAAGTTCTGTGGACAGGTTATCAGAAGGAACCAGTACATGGAGAAGAACTCAAACATGACAACAATTTGTGAAGATTGAGCAGGCCTGAGCAGTGTTTTACTTTGCTGTTTTACTTAGGGTCACTGCTGGAACCGACTCAATAGCATCACAGATATGCTAGTTTATTTAATGTAATTACACCCTGAATTCATAGATGGTATAATTCACCACCTCTACAAGGAGTCACTGGTTCTAAGAGACTTTTCCTCATTGGAAGTTTACATTTTCTGCTGAACTTCCTTAGGACTTACAAATACTGTAAAGTTAACCTCTATTTCAGATGGCACCATATTTGATTTAGCCAATGTGCTTTGTAATACCAACATATTCTTGGACTTCAGTTGTATGAACTGTCAAGTCAGTTCTTACTCCTAACAACCCTGGAAGTAGAACTGTCGTGTGGGTTTCTGAGCCTATAGGAGTAGAAAGCTTCATCCTTCTCCCGTGGAGCTGCTGGTGGTTTCTCACTCTGACCTTGCAGTTCACGGCCCACTGTGTAATCACTACACTACCAAGACTCCCCTATGAACCTTTAACAGAAGTTATATGTGCATTTAAACAAAGAGAATCATCTGAAACTAGCACACAATCTAAAATCTGGAAACCTTTTAATGTTAATCATCATAGAACCATGTAGTTATTTGGTTAACATTTGGGTAAAAGGAAACCAGCATTTGCCTTTCATGAGAACTTCCAAGGCCATTCATGCTCCAGCCCTCTTTTTATCTCAAATCTTACTTTTTAAAAAAAATCATTTTATTGGGGCCTCATACAGCGCTTATCACAATCCATTGTATCCCGCACATTTGTACATGTTGCCATCATCATTTTCAAAACATTTTATTTCTACTTTAGCCTTGATATCAGTTCGTTTCCCCCCTTCAAATCTTACCTTTCTGTTAACCCCATTTCCTTATTTATTGAAGGGAAATACTGCTCAGTGTCCCCGTGTTGTCACATCCACTTAGCCAATGTCCTAGAACAGCCTCTCCTAGTTCTGCAGTGTGTTCTAAATGTTCATTTATTGGCCCAGATCTCTCCACTAGGTTCTAATACTACTTACATCTAGCACATAGTAAGAGCTCTTTAGGAGCCCTGGGGGTATAGCGGTTACACATTGGGCTGTGATCGCATGGTCCCTAGTTCGAAACCACCAGCAGCTCTGTGTAAGGAAAAACTGGGCTCTAAACTTTGAACAGTTACAGCCTTGGATAAAAGCAGGGTCACTGAGTGAGCATTGGCTCCATTGTAGTGAGTGAAAGAGCTCTTAAGTGTTACTGAATAAATTGTATGATAATGTAAAGACCTATTTACAATCATCAAATGCTTGTTATCTAGAGATCCAGCTATTCATTTTTAATTTTTAAAAAAACCAACCTATTTTAAAAGTATGCTTGCATCTTTTTACTATAAAATTTACCTCTACATACATTCTGGGAATATAATTTACAAGGATTTTTCTAGTTTCATAAGCAAGTTTGCTAAAGATGACGATAACTAACAATTGTGACTTTATCTCGTGGGTAGCTTATTAAAGCAAAACCATTGTTCTTATTTTGGGGGGGGAGTGGGATTTCTACAATTTTTCCCCCTTTTTTTGGATAGCAGGGCTTTCCAGAAAGTGGTTGTCTATTACCAACTGAATGGGTCTACCATGGGCTGTGAGATTTCCCAGCATAAAAGGGAAGTTGAATCTAGTAGGGTGAACTGAAGATAATCTGGGGTCAAGTGGCTTAGAGAATTCTGAAATTTAAGTGTAATTATGTTGTATCTATGTTTGGGGTGGGTCAACTCTGATTGAATTTACCCAGTTTCTAAACATTTCTGTTGTAGGTATCGGATGATAACAGAAGGTGGAGTCAGTATAAATCACAAACAAGTCACAAATCCTGAGAGTGTTTTAGTTGTTGGACAGCATGTTCTCAAGAATGGACTTTCACTACTTAAAATAGGAAAAAGGAATTTCTACATAATAAAATGGCTTCAGCTATGATTTTAAAAAGTCGTGATTGTTCAAACAAATTTCACTCATCATTTATTCTCAAGATACAAGGGATTGGCTCCAGGACCTAGATCTTCGCTTACACAAATCAGACTGGATTAGGCCTCCTCACATTGTGAGTAATTTCATTATTTATAGAGGTTGGCTTATAATAAGGTGGTTGTCTGATAATGGAATATTTTACGTCCTAATCCACAAACATTGATTAATATGGCAAACCATAGTTTCAGAGATTGTTTTTTAAACTGTACCTTATGAAAGACCTAATGCTCTCCTAAGACCCTGCCCTGTTCTCCGTTCTCCATTTTGGACTGAGGAGGGGGGGCATGTACCCCTCCTGTCTTGGTATCAAGGAAAGACTCCATGGCAGCTGTCTTGGTTTGGGTGTCATAGAAAGCACGGGTCTCACTCCTTTAATTCTAAAGCCAGCAGCACCTCGTGTCCACATTAAAAACATATCTTGAAAACTTAGACATTTCTGTTGATTATGTTGTTGTTTAGAAAGGATATCTGTAGTTCTACCTAAAAAGGATAAAATACAAAGCCGTAGTTTGCTTTGAAAAATGACAGTACAGTGAACCCTCGTTTATCGCGGTTAATCGGTTCTAGACCCTACCGTGATAAATGAAATTCCGCGAAGTAGGATTCCTTATTTGTAAATCAAATATTTTCGTAGTTAGAGCGTAGAGGACATGAAAAAACACCCTTTAGTCACCATTACACTCGTATTACCCAATTTATTAAACGAAAAAGGGAAAATACAGTAAAACATTTTGGACATTACAATTATCATTTATTATTTTATGGCATCTAGTTTACAGTATTACTTGTCACGCGCTTTGCTTCCTTGTTGAAAGTGAAAGTAGCCATAGCACAATTGTTTTTTTCCTCTTTACGGATGGAGTGAACGGAAGACTCAAGTCGAAATGGCGTGCAACCTCCACGATTTTCTTGCCATCTTTGATCATATCCAAAAGTTTTACCTTTTCCTGGATGGTGAGCATCTTCCTCTGGCGCTTATTTTTGTCAGAAGGCTTAGAAGAAGCAGCTCGTTTAGGAGCCATCATAGGGCTTAGATAAAATTTCTTAAAAATCGCAATTACAGTACACTGTACAAAAGCAAAAATGCATCTGATACGTAGTTCCGATACGTAGCGATGCAGACAGAAGCGTGTACAGTATGAGCCAATCAGTGGCAGTAATGACAGAGCATGCGCTGTTACGCAAAAAACGCGAAGTGGCGAGGGTTCACTGTAGTTTCTTTTCAAATGAAGAAAAATCCATACTTGACCTTTCAGAAGTTTGTCAGTTTTCCATTGCTTTCCTGGATTGCCAGTATGAGATGAATTCGGTCTTGTTTTATTGATAAATTACTTAGTATTTTATAAATATGATGAACTTTGACAGTTCTAAGTTTGCACTTCATTCCCAAGCACTCTGTAACTTGACATAATCTGAAAAGTGACCAGTTACAAATGGGGCAAATTGAGCACCAAATAATCCAATATAAGATCAAAAGATAAGAGGGTCCTTCAGAAATTGTGTGGGAAGGTAGAATTAAAAGATAATGGAAATTTTTTCAAGAACTTTTTAAAGCCTTCTTATATGCGGGTAAGGGACATTTTCAGGTCAGCCTAGAAGGATTTAGAATCAAGAGTCAGTTCATCTCTCTATATGGGACTTGTCCACACCTATAAAATCAAAGTACTGTATATACTCGAGTATAAGCTGCCGACACAATTTTCAGCCGAGGCAAAGCTGCATACAAAATGTGCTGAAAAGCCCAGCCTATACACGAATGTATACGGCAATAGCACCTTCATTTCCCTGAGAATCAAGTAAAGGAAGGGGAAAGCAAAAAATGGCTTATAACTGATTTTTTTCTAGAAAACCTTTCAGGTAGCAAAGCATAGCTTTAATGTTCAAATGCTAGCCATTTACTACAGGATTAATTGGAGCAAGTCATTGTGTGCCCTAATATGCAAAATGAGTTGTGAGAATTCTCAATGAATTGTGAGGATCTAAGGAAAACAATAATTACAAACTTTTGGTAGAGTTAAAGGTATAATTCAAGTTATATGTTAGTAACTGAAGAAGTAAACAAGAAACCAGTTTTCCTTAGGAAGTATTCTTTTATTGACAAAGATCAATGTCATTTCATACCAGCAATTTTATTTACAAAGCAACAGAATACAGGTGTCCATTATAAATACCAGAGGCCATCTTTTCATCTCAGAACTTCACTCAGTTTAAGGGCCAACAAAAGGAAGGTATTCTCTTTCCCTGCGGTGGTTTTGTTTGTTTGTTTTGGGGTTTTTTGCCCATTTTTCTTTGTACAAAATGTCGTACTAGCAAGAACATAACCATAACATGTCTTTAAAGCTAACATTTTCAATGCTGAATTGTTTTGACATACTGGAGAGAAAAATGCATTTTAAGATTTTTTCCCTTAAGAAATACCAAAGGCTAAAATGACTTTTATTTAGCCTACTCTGAAATAAGTGAATGGCTATCATTTAAAACTGACATTTAATGATGACAGTGATTTTTAAATTTGCTAACAAATATTCTGGTTACATGTACTCTCTGTTAAGATGACGATAGTACAAATAGATTGACAACAGTACCAATACCTTTTTTGGGTTTTTATAATTCAGTCAGTGCTACTGAGCTTTATTGTTTTAGTAAAACGAGTACCATAAATTACATTAACAGAACATAGTCATACTTACTTGTCAAGATCCATCATAAATATCTGGTCCTAACTTGAAATTTTATTATCTGCAGTGCTTGTTGACTTAAGGTGTAATCTGTTGTAAGAGGGAGCAAATATCTTACAGATTATAGATATTACGAGAATTTAATAAATATGGACATATTTGTTCTAAGCTTCTACCTCCAACGCCTGAATCCAATTCAGTAGTTTATACTCTTTAGGAGTACATGTGTCTCTTTAACTCAGCATTTTTATAACATGTATTCTGTCATATGAAGCAATTAATACCTTCTAGATGGGAGAAGACAGAATAATAACGTAAATGATCAGAATGGTACTGGCTTTTAAGTCCCTGTCCCCCACCCCACAGTGGTGAATCTTGGGAGGCCCCCATTCTAAAGATGTCTTGATTACTTTCGTTGTATTTGCAAACCAAAGAGTTTAAGTCATCATTGAAACCTCTAAAAAGCAAACATAACTGTTCAGTCATTATCTAATTGATTAGTCAGATCCAGACATTTGTAAGCAGGGAACTCTAACTCATGCTGCCAGATTTAAGTAAAAATCAGAGAGTATTTTCACTTTTTATGTATAGGGCAATGCGGATTCAGAAGTGGAGATCTACGTCGCTAGCTACACATTATGTACACCCCATCACTTTCAATGTTACAGATGTTGTGCATCAACTTCTTATTAGCACATGGTTCAGAGAAAGTACTAAAAACAAAAACTAAATTGAAAGACAGGTGGAAAACAGTGACCAGGTGAGTAGCTTGTCAAACCACATCGTTCAAAGCCAGATCAATTTATAGCACATGCATTATAGTTGATGAAATGTTGTGTTGATACTTTCTTCTTAAAGGACTATGGTGGCAGCTTTAAGACAACTAACAAAAATTACATGGGTCTTCTTACCCACAGGTGGCAAACTGCTCGTATTACTAGAACATTAACAGTTCTTTTCATGTTCAAATGAAACTGCCACTGACAAACTTGATATATTTTACATATACTGGAAAACTTTTTTGGATTAAATGTATGATTTGTTCTGCAATACAGACTATACTTTTCCATTTATAGCCAGTCTTCACATGAGCAGAATCATACCATCGCAATACACTGGAGTTCATAAATAAAATTCTACTGAAGTAGGCAGTAGCTAATGGAGTTGATTCAACAGTCTCTAGTAGTATCTAGTTCTCTTCACCAAAGATGAGTCTCTCGGATTTCGGCAATAATTTGACTGGCTCCTTGTAATGCCTGCATTAAAGGGGGTAAAATGAAAAATGCTTATTAAGTTATGATTATGTCATAGGAAGCAATCTCTGTAGAATATGTATTGTAAGTTTATACTAATTACTGCTCTGGATTTGAATCTGATTAAGTATCAAATGAAAAAATCGGCGGTTACTGTATATTACTGAGTTTTTACTCACAGCAACCCTGTAGAACACAGACTTGCCCTGTAGAACCTGCTAGGCTGGAATCTTTACAGGAGCAGCTTCTCAGGTAGATATGCTGGTAGTTTCCAACTGCCAGCCTTTCAGAGAGCAGCCAAGTCCTTAACCATTGCACCCCCAGGATTCCTTAGCTATTTTAATTAGCTAATTAATTGGAGTAGTTCAGAAAGTTTGTGTGGGGAAGTTCCATTATTTTTGGTTTTATTTTTTCCATGCGCTTTTTGAAGCCTGTGTGTGTGTGTGTACATTGCTTAATGTCTACAATAAAACCAAGACAGTGTGTGTGTGTGAACATTGCTTAATGTCTACAATAAAACCAAGACCACAGCAACCCTACAGAAACCTCTAGTCAGTGTTCCACCAAGTTATGCCCTGCTTTTGCCACCTTCTCTTTTAAACCAGTGGCAGGGAAGGCCAGCTTGTCTGAAAATCTGCCCAGAAGGAGCATATGGTGTGAACCAAAGCTGCCTGAGCCGGGGCTTGGATGACAAGGATGCGTGACTTTCCAGTGGCACCCTACAGAACCGTACGGGGGAAAAATGCAGGGACTAGCCCTGCTGAATCGGCAGGAGCCAAAGGGGAGTGGCATTAGCTTCCATCACCACAGACAAGGTGGCTTATAGACTGTACACAGCAGTAGGCAGAAGTAGCACTCCAACCCCAAACTAAAGAAAGGTCTAGTGTCCTGCCCTCAGACTTAGTGTTTTTGGTTTTGCAAATGTGCCCTCATAAATCACATACACAAGTAAAATTACCTAAGGAAACAAACACCCTAAGGAGTTGTGCCATTTGCGAAACCTATATGTTGTGTGCATTTTTTATGTAAAGACAGCATGTGCAGTTGGACGTTGCCTGGATGTTAAGCTGTGTATTAACATTCGTGTGTGTGTGTGTGTACATAAAAACTTAGTGCTCTAAGCTGTGTATTAACATTGTGTGTGTGTGTGTGTGTGTGTGTGTGTGTGTGTGTGTGTGTGTGTGTATACATAAAAACTTAGTGCTCTTGAGTCAATTCTGACTCGTGGTGACCCCATAGCAGCACAAAGAACTGTCTCATGGGGCATGGGAACTGTGATTTTTAAAGAGGCAGGCTGCCACATCTTTTTTTCACAGAGCAGGATTCAAACCATTGACTTTTCAGTTGGTAGCTGAGCACTTAACCACTATGCCACCAGGGCTCCTACAGACTCATACGTACATGCATATATAAGCATGTACACATAATACAAAAACTGTATTCCTCCAGAAGTCAGAGTGAATTTTAAACCAAAAAATGTTTATATGAATGTGCTTATCTCTGTAATCCAAGTATGAAATTGAAGAGGAAAAACAAGCAGCACAGTAATACGATACCTTTAACATATCAGCTGCTTCTTTCCTACGCTGTGCCATGTCCTCGGATTCCGTCAGAAGATCATCCAATAAGGATGATTTGTACAGTTGTCCTACTAACTCACTCTGAAGAGTATCTTTCACATGATTAACCAAAAAATGCATGACTGCTTTTGGCACACTGAAACAAAACAGATCTCTGTCATTTTGGCAAACAAATTACTTTTTAAATTTGGGGCTTTGATTCTGACCTCATAAAACAATAAAATTAAGAATATTGTGGATATTTCTTTACTTAATGAAATAATGGCCCTTCAGGTTTTCACTTAATTATAATCGAGTATTTTTTTAAGAACCCAAACACACTACCACTGAGTCAATTCTGACTCTTGGTGACCCTATAGGACAGCGTAGAGCTGCCCTTTGGGTTTCTGAGGCTGTCGGTCTTTACAGGAGCAGAAACCCTCATCTTTCTCCTCAGAGCAGGTGGTAGGTTCATGCTGCTAACCATGCAGTTAGCCACCCAACATACTTATAACCCACTAGGCCACCTGGCTCCTTTAAGAAAAGGCACAGCCTTAATTTGCCAATTCTTAGAGCATTTCCTTTAAATCTTTTTCCTAATATCCCTTCTATGTTTATTACTGACTACATCACAACCTCACAAAGAACATTTGTTCATAATAGTCAAAAAGTGGAAAAGACCCAAGTATCCATCAGTTCATGAAGGAATCAACAGAATGCAGTATGTAATCCACACAATGCAGTGTTTGGCCATAGAAGAAGTGAAGAGCTAAGTCATGCGATATGACACAAGGGATGAACCTTGAAAACAGCATGTAAAATGCCACTTTTGGGGGAATACAATACTGAATGAGTCTTTTATGAGCAATCCAAAATAAGTAAACCCATGAAGAAAACAGATTAGCATTTATTGACTGCTAGGGGATTCAGAGGGGCAAATGGGAAGTACCTGCTATTGAGCACATAGTTTCTTTGTCTTAGGGGGGGTGGGGGGAAGCCCTCTCCGAATTTACTGCCACCAATGGAGTAGATTCAGACTCAAAGCAACACTATAGGAAAGGCCAGGGCTGTCCCTATGGATTTCCAAGACGTATCTCTTTACAGGAGTACAGAGCCTGGCCTTTCTCGGGTAAAGACAGTGTTCTGAGATTAGTTGTAATGGTTGTGCCACATTGTGAACACATGATAAAATAAAACCACCAAGTAGCACACTTTAAAAGTTTGAATTTGGTGCTATATGAATTATATCTCATTTTTTAAAAAAATAAAAACAACTGCACGGGTTGCGGTCATAGGCGGAGACAGACAAAAGGGAGAGCCTGGAAATTTTTCTTCAGTCACAATATGAAAAAACGTGCTATACATTTAGATGATTGTATAGCCAAAGTCACTGACTGAATATGAAATATTAGATAATTAAGCTTTTATGCTTCTGTTCAATAAATTTCTATTAACCTGCTAACAGGTACAAGAAATTGAATGTGGGATACTTCCTAATAGAAGATCACTTTACATAACTCAGCTTTTATTCTGCCTACTGCATGAAGTGACACCACAGGTAATATGAAGAAGACACACAAGGCAGTGGACATGTGAGAAGATATTCTAAATTAGAATGAATAAATACATTTCTTAGTAAAAACATTTATTTTGATACTTTGGAGAACTGTGTAAAACAATTTTTAAAAGGACTATCATTAGTCAAAGTAAACTAAGATTTAAGGGAGAAATAAACATTTTTTTCTAAAATGCCTTAAAATGTGGCAGCCAGAAAAGACAAAGGAATCTCTTCTTTCTTAGTAGTTTTTCTATCTCACATATATTATGTTCTGGTCATGTCATAATAACAGTAATTCTGAACTGCAATATTTAAGATAAATCATTCATTTGATTTAGAGTAAAAATTTACCTAAAAGTTAAAAATACATCTATTTTCAAAACAAATCCTATGTGTATTATATCTTACTAACCTGTCTTGAATATTCTTTCTTACAATAAGAAAATATGACTTGATGAGTCGTTCAATCACCTCACAATCTCGCTGTTCGCGGGCAGATAGCTTTCGTGCCACAGGAACTGGCTAAATAGGGTAAGAGGGGAGAACATGAACCCTGCACCATTTTAAAATGGCAACGTTGAAAGAGTCAAAAGTAAAAAATTGAGAACTGTAATACTTTTTGTCTTAAAATAATTCCCCCCCTAATCTGGCCACCTTATTGATGCTGAACAAATCTGCATGGCTTACCACATCCAGCAGATTCACAGCATGCCCTTTTTGTGGACTAGCTGGCATAATTGGAATTGGTTTGGATTTCTCTTCAGCTAGTAATTCTTCAGCTTTTGAAGTTTTTAACATTCCTCTCCAGTTGCCTGTTGTTGGTTCTTGAACAGCATCTCCTACCCCACCACTCCCAGATGCAACCTGAAAAAAAACAGATGTACCCCAACCTATACCAACTGATAGTAAGGCTAAACAAAAGTTCATTTGCTTTGACAGTAGTCAAGGAGTTCTCCAGTGCTCACCTGGAGTTTATTCAGACAGATAATGGCACAAAAAGACATGGTGGTTGGAATATGTAACTGGAACCCTGAGCTACCTAAATAAAGCCTTGTTTGCAAGGGTTTGGTCGATTGGCCGTACTTCATTCTTCCTTTTCTTCCTTTATTGTAATCTAAACTTTTAAATTTTTTTCATCTTTTCCCACTGCTCAAACACTAGACTGTGGGGAAAGTATAAACGATCATAAAAAACAGAACAACAAACAAGAAAAAATAGAAGAATTCCAAGTAATGGCAAACACTCCTGAGCCAAGTGTGCTCTCCGTGAAAGTTCTTATGGTCCCATGTCTCCAAACAGAGCTTCCTATGTCTCAAGTTAGTTTATATTCTTAATGGTCTGCCAAAATAACAAAAGATAAAAGAAACTTTTTAATAAAAGCTTTAAAAGGCCACTCACTATTCTGAGGCTGATGGTCATTTTCGTTGTCTAAAATGTGACATGAGGACGAGCCCCTCAATGTCAGTTTTTGGTATTGTAAGTTGAAAAACTGGTCAAAATTTGTCTTTAGTAAATTAGGTTGAGCTACATCTAAATATAAGTATTATATAATCTGTTTTACATGAAATTACATACATACAAGTATGTATACTATCTACTGCCACACGTCAATTCTCATAGTGACCCTCCAGGGTGGTCTGTCCATCTGAATGAAGCAGACTGCCTCATTCTCCTCCCGAGGAGCAGCTGGAGGCTCTTTCAGCTTGCAGCTCAGTGCTGACCTGACAGCACCACCAGGCCTCACGTAGACGACACATTGATTTCTAAGCTGAGTAAACAGTGTGTTAACTGTACATAGAAGACATCAAATGAAATCTTAAGAAAACACATTCAGTATGATGCCCTGAGTGAAATAAAACTTGTGCGACAATTTAGATGCTCCCCTTAAGGTTAGGGGACAGTGGGCTGAGCAAAAATTAGGTTTAAAGCCTACTTTGAGATTCAAAACCTTAATTCTGGACAAAAAAATACATTGCTAAATGGAAGAAAAACTAGAAATAATGGATCTGTACATTTTCCATATCATTCTCCCCTAAAATGGTTATCTAGAATGACAATGATAGTCCTCATTTTAAATTTGCTTAAGCTACTGAAGCACATGTTAAGCAATATATTTACGACAAGTGTACACTAACCAGAAGCACAAAAAAGAAGCATTAGAGATTAGCCGTTAGTACTGTACAAACTTCAATTTTCAGAAAGGAAATTACAGTTTCCATCTGTGAAATCTTAACTGCCCACCAAAATACCAAATTCAAGGCTGGTCTTGAAGGTGATAACAAACAGTGGAAAAGTCTGTTACTGTCAGTAAATTGTTAATGCCATCTGAGGAAAGTTAAAGGGACAGTAAGGATGTAAGACGGACAAGAGATAGATGTCACTGTACAAACAGGTTCTTCAATGGTTTAGAAGACAGTGTTTCAGTGAAAACCACAGATACCAACATTTCCATTCTGAAGTAAGAGACTCACATTTTTAGTTTCTCTTCTGCTGTCCTGAATTAACTGTTAAAAGATATGTTAAAACATGCAATTTAACAAGCAAAATTTAAAGATCATTGGCTTGATATTAAAAAGCGTAATTTCCTTTAAAAATTATTTTTGAGCACTTCTTCCATATTGCAAGCAGCAGTATGTCAATAAGTTTATAAAGTATACATTGCTATATGTTTTCCACTAGACGGAATTTCTCAAGAATTTGTATTCAAGTGGCCTGATCATAGCACTACATCCCAAATACCATGCTGTTCTATGCATTTCTTCCAGATGATGATGATGTTGCACAAAATCACTAGTCATGCAGGCTTAGATTAAGAATCAGAACAGACCTTGCCATCAGCCTCAGCAGAAGCAGCAGGGGAGGGCTCCTGGGAGGCAGGTGCCAAAGCACTTGGAACTTTAGAAGACTAAAGGCAAAAAATGCAGGGGGAAAAAATCAAGGGTGCCAAAAATGCATTCAGATACATGTTATAAATGTGAATTTTCCCCCCTCTGTAACAAAATAGTAAAATAACATGAGAAACCTAATTATTGTGCCTATTTTCCTATCAGAGGTGTTTCTTTAAATGAATCCCTAAGAAAAATCCAAAAACAAAAATAGCGTTATTCCTAGAAGTTGATCATCCAGGTAAAGAGCTCAAAGTAGCAGGTTTTTATGCACAAACATTCCAACGTCTAAAAGTATTAATGGTATTCCAGGTAACAAAAATCTCTATGATATGCGTATTGTTTTCTTCCCTCTCCACAACCCCTCCTAGCATAGCTTATTAATTAGTAGTGTCAACTAAATACTTTAACTACCTGAAAATTTTTAGAACTTGGAAGTTAAAAGCCTACTTTACACATTTATTCCAGTGTATTCATAAATATTGTTATCTCTAAATTACCCAAGGTTTATCTTATATTGGCATACCTTTACTCAACCAATGAAATATACTTCTAGTAGAGTATTAAAGGGAAGAGAAAAAAATAATTTCTTCTTCCAAATCAGCGGTTCTCAACCTGTGGGTCACGACCCCTTTGGGGGGTTGAACAACCCTTTCACAGGGGTCACCCAATTCATAACAGTAGCAAAATTACAGTTATGAAGTAGTAACGAAAATAATTTTATGGTTGGGGAGTCATCACAACATGAGGAACTGTATTAAAGGGTCGCAGCATTAGAAAGGTTGAGAACCACTGATCTAAGTAATATTCGGAGGCTTTCCAATCCATCAGGTATTGGGAATATTGTTCACAAGCATTGTTTTTACCTTGTCTCGTGATACAGCTGAAGGTAATTCTCTGGCTAGTCTGTTTCTCCTTTGTTCCTACACAACATAACCAAACAAGGCAAAAGTGATGATCGGCGTACTGATATATATAAGCCTACTAGGAAATATGCAAACGAATTAAAAAGTAAAGAATAACGTACAGATAGATAGATACTGTCACTTGTGGGACTCCTGTTATAACTATTACATTTTAAAACAAGGAAATTGTTTTAACCCAGTGCTTCTCAGTATAGTTTCGGTTTCAACACAGCTTAGAGATACACAATATAAAGTTAATAGTGGCTCCCTACTACAATGGTGTCTCAAATGACGAACAATGGATTGACCTCTTCCATTTCAGTCCTAATTAGGAAACAGTGTTTTAAGCCTGTCTCACATCATGTACAACTGAAATGTACAAATTCCAGAAGAATTTTAAAAACCTTTATTAATCACTCTAGCTTATACCCCTTGATATTAAAATCACATAATCCACACACAAAACTGTTAACTTTGAAAGTATACCTGGCTGAGGTTGTTCCAGTTTCTATATCCAAAACTATATGAAATGTAGTATTGGGTAATTACAGTCCTTTCTGTAACCTAATAAACGAATCAACTGCCCTCTGACTTGCTCATACGACCAAGGTAAATGTGGTCCAGAGCTAAAGCAGCATCTATCGGAATGTAATGAGAACCTGGATGGACTAAGAATCCGGAGACTGTGAAGATACAGACAGATGGAAGTGTTCATGACGGATCACTCAGAGGCCACACCAAATAGAAATGCACCGAAGTGAAATGAATTCTGAATTGCTCCTAAGTAGAAAACATTTTATGAACACACTGAAGCTAGCAAAAAGCTGTACGTGACCAAAGTTCCAATGTTTTATCTGCACGAAAGTGGTGGTGGTGATTTTTTGGTTCACTTTCATTTCTGCAAGGAGCTAAGTAATCTGTGATAAAAATTGCGGCAGATGATAAAATTACAGATTTCAACAATTTTCAGAATGAAAATTAGCAATTTCTTTAAATTAGCATTTTAAAGGATGATTTGAAGCAAAAGGCAAGGAATCTGGAGATAGGAATTCTCGTGCTGGTCTGCTACCAACCATTATGGCTTGAGCTGGCTGCCCCTAAAGCCAAACAGCCCTTACTAATTGTACAGGTTTCCAAGTCTTTTAAGGCCCATGATCTTCATGGGGTTGATGTAAAGAGTAAATTAAAATATCCACATAAAGAGAGTATCATTTGTAGAAAAACATTGTATGAAACAAGTTTTACTGACAAGTTTTCCATGAGATTGAGTTAGAATTTATAAGAACTAAATCCAAAGGAAGTTCTACATACAGATTTTTAAAGTAACTGTTAGCTAGTATAACCTGACTCATGTTTATTCTGGAATTTCTTCTGACAATAGGCATTACCTCAGCTAAACATTAAATAAGCCCAGGTCTCTGTCCTGTTAAAGAGAATTTACTTATTTCCCATAGAAGTGTCCAGCAAAGTAAGCACTACTAACATACTAGCTGTTATCGTCGATGAGCCTCAGGTTCCTCCCCTGTATAATCAAAGGGTTGAAGTGGATAACCCAGGCTTCCCTTTGAGGTCCCAACTCCATGTTTACAATTTTCTCTCCACCCACATGCAAAAGAGGAAATTTGATCTAGAAGGGTATTCTATTCCGAGGTCTTACTGGATTGTGGAATAGTAGAAAAACTTACTGTCACAAAAGTGATGTTTTAAAAAAATAGCATCTGGATAAATTGCTCCATCCTCCAGCCTTGGCTCCATAAGATTTTTTATCCAATTTTTTCATATTAAGTGGAGAGAAAAGATCCATAGAATCAGCACCCCAGTAGTGATAAAAAAGAATACTCTCTTTTCCAGATTTATGAAAAGTTGGGTAATTTGTGGAATGTTTTCTTCAGATTTCAGAGCCAAATAAAAACCATATTAAGTAATCGATTTGTTTGATATACTATGACCTGAATGAAGGGCAACAACAGTTACTGAGATGGAGCCAAGGAGTCTCAACAATGAGTTGCAGGATCCAATAAGTTTCAGTTTATGAGAACAATACCTCCAGGGGGTTTTGAGGATTAAGATTAAATTTAGGAAAACAATGTAGCAGGCACCAGTACAGCGCCTGTATGTTTTAAAGCTCCATTTATCCCATGCTAAATAACTTTGGTACAATAAGTTACAACAGATTTTCACCCTCTACAAAAAAGACACAATATATTTACCTCTATATTATTATTCATTAGTCCACAAGCATCAGCAAAGTCTGGATGTTTTGTATTGATATACGCCAATTCAATTGCCACTAAGTTATGGACCTAGAGAACAATAAAATTAGGTTATATTATACATAAAATATCAACTTTTTACTTTGAAAATTTTATTATGTAAAATGTATTAAATAAACAATGCTTAAAATGCAGGAAATGAATGACTAATAGTCAAAAATTATAGTGCAGTGATAAACCTTATGCATTAACTCAAACTATTTCATTAGGTAAGGATGCTACGGGGAAGGAGGAAGAGAAGTGACATTAGCTAGCTAGAATTTCCTGGGAAAAGAGTTCGCCAATACATACATAAGTTGTAATGCTTTATGCAAAGTTTTGATTCAATCAGTTTCAACAATATGAAAACTGAGGGTGTTTCAAAAAGTTCAAGGAAAATTGTATTAAAAGAATAACGGGATGTTTTTTCATCAACATTTTGAAGCCCTCTCATAAGTTAAAAATTATTAATTTTATAGGAGCAAAAAAATAAAACACCCAAACAACTGCCATCAAGTCAATTCCAAAACCCTACACAGGGTTTCGAAGACTATACAATCTTTACAGAATCAGCCAGCCTCAGCTTTCTCTGGAGGAGGAGCTGGTGTTTGTTGACCTGCAGTAGAACTTAGTTAGCAACTCAATGCTTACTCGACAGCCCCCACCCAGTGCTCCGTTTATAGGAGTACAGGACACACCAAAGACCTGAAATAGCCTTCATTACAAAGCATCTAGGTTAAATATGTATATGGTTCAAAATCCTAATTATAAAATTAGGTGAAAAAGAAAAAGTGAAATTAACTTCTGCAGTCCTCTCCAGAATTGCTTACTCCATTTACTGTGTCCTCTGCACAATCCTGGTATCAACTAGCACTAAAAGTTCAAGTTCCACCTGAATCTGGGAGTTATGCTTTTTAGGAAATAGCTTAGATCTCATGAAAATCTGTGGCTGCAACTAACAATGATTACAAGATGAAGAAAAAAAAAGTTATACCAGAAATATTGAAAAGTTTCCATTGAACTAATATTTGACAATCTTTTTCTCCCTCCAAATATAATGAAAGTACTCAATATGCTATACACCTCAAAGCAGCCAAACTAGAATTTACATTTTACTACAGGGATCACAGTGGTAATTTGTGAAGCAGCTCACCATTTCATTTGTAACAGGCAACCTTTTACGAAGAAGACAAGTCACTACTTCAACTATGGCATCATGAAGTTTAGGAAACCGCAACAATTCCTAGAACATAATGGAGAAAAGAATTTCATAATGGTTCATTTATTTCATTTTAAGGAAAGTTAAATAATTTGAACTCCATTTATTTTAATACTATTGCAAAACACATTTAGAACAGTAACTGTGGATTTTCACTTTTGGCCTAACACATCCATGTCCTGAAGCTGCCACTTCACCCTTCACTTGTTCAGTCTGAAAGCTGTTGTAGTGCTCCTGATACCTGTGTGCTGTAATTGCTACAATGCTGAATGATCCTCTGCATTTCCTCATGAACCAGTTCCACACAACGGAGGCTAGGCTCTTCCAGACGTTTGATTTGGCGCTTGACCAGTAATTCAAATGAAACCTCAGGCACAAACAAAGCAGGACGAGGGCCCTAGGGGGGGGGGGGGGGGAAGAAATATTAAGGTTCCTATAGCTAGATATAATTTTAGTTTTTCCCAAAGATTAGAAAAAAATCTTAGGAGGTATTTTTCATTATACTTAACTTCAAGTATAAGCGCAAAATTACACAATGAATTATTTTAAAAGATAAAATACATAGGCAAAAAAAGCTTAAACCTCATTTGCAAAATTCTAAAGTTAAAAACATACTCACAGTAGCATTTCTAATGGCAGTCAATATGTCAATAGTATTAAGGCCACCTAGCGGGTCAACAGATTCTAAGGTTCGCCCAAAAGTCTCATGGAAAATATAACATATTCTAGCACCACCGCATCTGAAAAGCAATGAAGTATATAGTTTCTGATATTATTAAATGGGAAAAAACTACAAATTAGAAGCCTTTCTATAAGCTCTAGGCTTGTTGCACTCTGACAAAACCTCAGGTAACAATTACATTGAGGTGATTCCCACTTTCCTATCTTATATAATGCCTGAAGCCCCTGGTATTACTTTTTAGGAAATTTTTATTCAAGTTCAGCTGAATTCATGTCTTTGTTATTGATCTTGTAACCATCTAGACGTGGGTACTAGTCTACTACAGAAACTGGTCTCTTTAACTCCTTTCTCTTCTCCAAATAATTTTTCACAATGAGTAGAATTATCCTTCTTAAACAGATTACTTCTCTGACCAAAATGTTTTATTTTCTATAGTAAGAAGTTTTTTGAAATCTGAAACAAGATAACTAACTTTCCACAATCTTGTTCCTAGATACCTTTCTTTTTTTGGTCTGGTCCCTCTTTCCCTGTGGAGATATAAACAATACCCTCCCCTTGGGTGGGTTAGTGCCCTGTGACCCTGCTACCCATTTCTTTATTATTTTTTTTCCTTTCCCCACCTCCTTTTTGACACCTTTCGTTCCCATCTTATGTCCTATATTTCCTGTCACTCACTGCCCATGCAATTCTTCAAATATACTCTCAATATTGTTCTTCTTCTGTTCCTAAGCCTAAAACACCTTCTCTACAATCCCTTCCTCAAACACCGTACCTATTCAAGGTATATATTCAAAGCTCACCTCAAACACCTATACTGTGGAGCTCTCCCAATCAGTGAAATAAATTTAAATCAACTCTTCTCATTCCAAAAACTTGATTAGATGATTACGCATATGAGTGAGCTTCAAAAACTGCCCCAAATCTAAACAGAATTGTCCCACAAACTTGTAATGGCCCTGTGTACAAGGGTTAAATAAAAAAGAATTCCTGCTAGGATTCCAGTTTCTATATGCATGGGTTAATTCTAAATAAAATGTGTAAAAACATGTTTCTGTGATCAAGTGGATGGCTGGCAGACAAGTTCAATAATACATTTACATTAATCTCCTTAGAGTTGCTTTGAAAGTTTTTTTTTTTTAAAGGCCTAACCCAAAGAGTGATATCCGAGGGGATGTGCAATTAAGTCCAAGTCAGATTAGTTCAGAAGGTTTATGATCGCAGCTTATGGAATCCCAAAGGGGTAATTTTGATAGATTCATAATCTCTGAAACCCCCAGGGGCAGTTCTACTCTGTCCTACTGGGTCACTATGAGTCGGAATTGACTCAGTGGCAGTGGGTTTTTATGGTTTTGCTTTAATCCAAAAGTGTTAACGGTCAAATTCAAATACTTGCCTCGCCAGTAGCACTGTTAGGGAAGTGTTGTATTGCTAACAACATGGTTGGGGGTTCAAACCCATCAGCCAGTCCGTGGAAGAAGGATGCGGCAGCCTGCTTCCATAAAGATTGGTCTCAAAACCCTCCCAGAAGCAGTTTTACTGTATACTCTAAGTTGACGTATCTCTGTATGACTTAAACTCTTTTATACATTGATATAAAAGATCACCTGGGACACACAAAGTTATGTAGAGCTATCTATACACAAACAAGCATGTATATAGCAGTTAAACCTGACATAAACTCTGGGGACTTTACGATTTCTTAGATTTGTTATTGTATCCCAGTTATCCTAGTAATATACTGTCGCTATTCCACATGTCAGCAGTGAAAAAGGTGAGGGAAAAGGGTGCACAGGACCTCCTTGTACATTGCTTTGCAACTTCCTGTGAATCCATATCCCAAAATGAAAAGTTAAAAAAGGATAAAGATGTAGGTAAGTGAACATTCTCATACACTGCCAGTAGAAAACAGTATACTAACAGACTGAAGCTGTTTTACCTTTTAATCTAGTGATTCCACTTCTAGGATATGGATATGGATCCCCCAAAATAGGTGTGAGGATGTCCATCACAACAGTATTTACATCTGTGCGTAACTGAAAACAGCTATCCACTGGTAGAGGACTGGCTCAACAAATATGAGAGTGTGAGAAGTAACTCTGTGACTGTCAATTAGGACTTGTAATGACTCCATGTGTCACACAAGTAGAACTGCTCTATGATGTCCTGGCAGGAACTTGACAGGAGCAGAGCAGTAGGCCTTTTACTGATGCTGCTATCATGTGGGTTTGAACTGCCAATCCTTAGGTTATTAGTCAAGCACAATCCATATTTCCCTTTTCAGGATCCAAATCTAAAATACTACACAAAATTTAAGAACAATAATATAGGTGTATAATTAATCTTAGAAAGTTATTTGTAATGATTTTAGAAATTATTTTACAATAGCATGTATATAATCTGATTTTCAAAGATCTATATTGTAATCACGTTTATAGCAATACATAGAAAAAAGTCTGGAAGGTTAGTGCCGAACTGTTGGCAGAGATAAATCTTTGATGGCGAAGTTAAGGGTTATTTTTTATTTTACTGTTTCTACTTATTAGCTTCACATAATAAAAAAAACATGAAACACTGATAAAATGTTTTTAAAATAATTGAAATTTTTACTTTATATGAGAAAGCTTCAAAAATGGAATAGAAAGATAATGGAATTTTTCCACCAATTTTTTGAGCTCCTATAAGTATATGAAGTGATTTTACACATATTGGACAGATATCCTATCATTTGTATACACTAAAATCCCAATTTTATTGTGATAAATCAGTCAGATAATCTCAGCATTAAAAAGGTATTTTAACAAACGATCCAGCAATGTTGGTAACCAAATCCACAGAAAAATTCATTACTTACAGCTCTGAAGTCTCAATGTATTTTGCAGTTCCTTCAATAGTATTACAATATTCTGTGGCAAATTTGGTAATAAGCTGGAGTAAAGTAGCACTTTTATCATCCACAGGTTCACCGTAGCTATTTAGAAGAGACTGATACTGAGCTGCTAGAACATTTATTCTTGTTTTCAACTCGGGTAAGCAATCCCTGATGTGATGCATCAGTAACCTAACAAATATTAGAAACAAAGGATTTTAATTTCAAATGGTAGTTCTCAAGAGACACATGGATCAAATTTTTAAAATACAATTTAAAAAGCTTGTTAAATAGTTTGTCTTGGCAGGAAATAATGCTTAGAATACAATGAAGTATTTAGTTTGAAAAATGGCAAGAAATAATGTTTCTTTTCATCAGAACAAAAAATCTTACCATAGTGAATGAGGGGAGGAGTGCGGAGTGGAGACCCAAAGCCCATTAGTAGGCCACTGGAGATCCCCTTGCAGAGGGGTCTCGGGGAGGAGACAAGCCAGAAAGGGTGTGATGTAGCAACGATGAAAAATACAACTTTCTTCTAGTTCCTAAATGCTTCCCCCTCCCCCCCACTATCATGATCCAAATTCTACCTTGCAAGTCTGGCTACACTAGAGGGTGAACACTGGTACACATAGGAACTGGAAACACAGTGAATCCAGGGAGGATGATCCCTTCAGGACCAGTGGTGTGAGTGGTGATACTGGGAGCGTAGAGGGAGAGTGGGTTGGAAAGGGGAACCGATTACAAGGATCGACATGTGACCTCCTCTGGGGGACAGACAACAGAAAAGTGGGTGAAGGGAGACGTCGGACAGGGAAAGATATGACAAATTAATAATTTATAAACTAAATTATTTTAGTTTTAGTCACGAGGGAGCGGGGAGCGGGGAGGGAGGGGAAAAAATGAGGACCTGATGTCAGGGGCTTAAGTGGAGAGCAAATGTTTTGAGAATGATGAGGGCAATGAAGGTACAAATGTGCTTTACACAATTGATGTATGTATGGATTGTGATAAGAGTTGTATGAGCCCCTAATAAAACTATTAAACAAAAAAAATAATGTTTCACTCAATGCTATCTTAATTTACCTTTATCATACTACACTGTTGTAATTACTAGGGAATCAAATATAAAATGAAAAGCAAACAAACAAAACAGACAATTACTTTCATATTATGACAGTTCCTAAGAGAAAGTAAGCCACTTGATCTAATTATACCTACGTATTTTCTTTTGTTGACATATTTTACATTGGGTACCCACCACAATAATTCTTACTAAGATCTAAGCCCATCTTAATTGCTTTTGAGATTAAGTAAGACAAAAGTTTGAGAAAAGACTAATTATTTTTTTAAAAATCAATCACAAATGTCCCCCAGTCCCTAAATTGTATCAGTGGGTATTCTATGATCAGAGTTGCAGCAATAAAAGACGTCCTGAATTTAAAATAGAAATTTAGTACAGTTCCAGACATCATCTACTATCCAGTTCTGACATCATCTACTATCCAGTTCTACCATCAAAAATAGTGTCTGAAATTTCAGCTAGAACTTTTTAAATTTACATCATCGTTCTAAACTATGATTTACTGCTAACCACCCCAATAAAAATAGAAGCAACTGTTTTAAAAAATCCTACTATAAAAGAAACCAAAAATGAAACTACATAAAACAATTGATCCTAGACAAAGCAAAAATAAATCTTACCTGTTTAGAGTCCTAGCAAGATACTTTGTTCCATTTCTGTTGGCCAGAGACGGGTATTTCTTTTGAAGAAAACCATATTCATCTCGGATTGAATCAGTTACACTCTTCTTATTGTTAATATCAAGCTGGCTCCTAAAGTTGAAAAATAGCAAAACTGTTCAAGTAAACTTAAATTCTGGTCCTAAGTTGGTGACAATGCTGATGGCAATGAGGAGCCTAAAATGTATTCTGTTCTCATCATATACCATATATGTGAGTTCACTTACTGTCTTCGCACAGTAATTCTGCATTAAGTATAATCAATAAGAAACAAGCTCAGTGATTAATTTGCCCGAGTTTGCACATCAAGTAACACAGCCAAGATTTGAACTACCAATAATGCTTAAATAGTTTAGACTCATTATTACTATTAAACAAATACAATCCTCTTCCGCAATAAGGACTGTGGTTAGGCCCCATTGAGTCAGTTCCTACTCGGGTATCTTCATACAACAGAATAGAACATTGCCTGGTCTCTGTCCTCCTCCCAATTGTTGCTATGTTTGAACCCAGCCAGAATATACAGATACATACATATGTGTTCCTGTATATTTTGTCCACATACAGACAATTTCTGCCAAAAATAAATGTTAACTTAAAAGTAATCATCTGCAAAATACAACATATTATACTACCTACTTGCCCCAAACGAGAAATCATAGCATTTTTAAAAAGGACAGGTGGGGGGGGGTTGAAATGATAGAACTGTTAATAGAAGCATCTACCTGGAATGGATCTTAAACATATGTAATTTACTAAAGCATTTACATTTTTAAAAAGCCTGAAACCCAAAGACAGTTCACAACAAAACCGAACTCACTGCCATCAAGTTGATGCCGGCTCATAGAAACCCTGCAGGAGAGGACAGAACTTCCCAGGTGAGGAGTCATCTAATCCCGCGTTGCACCTAGTTTGTGAAAGAACTGGGACTAAAACCCAGATCTTAGGACGATTTCAGTGCTTCTTACCTTATAAACACTTTAGACTAAGAGAGATCCCCAGTGGAATATGGCTCTGCATTTTATTAGCCATGTGACTTTAATATATAACCAGAGTTTTCTAATTATAAAATAGACATCAACATTGAGAGTCTTTTCTTTCTTACTCATTATTTGTATTTTGGGCTTTATATTATTATTTTATCTTTACCACCAATTTCAAATTTGGTTTTTATTGTTTCTGTTGGGTTTCCCAGTTTCTGCCCCACGGGAGGAGTGGATCTACAGGAGTTGATAAGGGATGTAGGGGTGGGAGTGGATGATAGAGAGGGAAAGGGGATTTGGGAAGTTGGGAAATGAAAATGGGAGCAGGGAAGGAACAGAAGAACTGACTGCACGGTGAGTGTTCTAAAATTGATATGGTAATGATTATATACTTCTTGATAGAATGAATGATTGAACTAAAGTAAATGCTATGTAAATTATATGCCAATAAAAGAGTTAAAAAATAAATTAAATAGACATCAATATCTATCTCACAGCTGTTGCCTGAGTTCCAAAAAACACCTTTTTATACGAATTTGACACGCACAGGAGTGCCTAAAATATAATTAGACCCCCCCAAAAAATATATATATATAATTAGACCCTAAATTATAGGTTCTTTTCTATAGTTTTTTTAATCCAGCAATGTATAAGAACCCTGGCAGCATAGTGCCTTATAAGGTGAGCTGTTAACCACCAGGTCACCAGTTCAAAACCACCAGCTACTCCAAAGGTGAAAGAGATGGCTTTCTACCCCCATAAAGAATTACAGTCTCAGAAACCCACAGGGACCGTATTCTACCCCAACCTATAGTCAGATGCAATTTGATGGCAGTGAGATAATTAAGATATCTTTAATAAGATTTCTCCAAGTCACAACCTGGTGATTTCAGAGAATCACTAATGCTAAGGGATAAACGTCAGTTGTTGCATTTGAATTGTGGAGCTGCCGAAGAATATTTAAAGAACCATGGACTGCCAAAAGGATCAACAAATCTGTCTTGCAAGAAGTACAGCCAGAATGCTCCTTAGGGGCAAGGATGGCAAGACTTCATCTGACCTACTTTAAGCATGTTTTAGGAAAAACCAGTCCCTGGAGGACATCATGCGTGGAAAAGTAGAGGAAGCAAAAAAAGAGGAAGACCCTAACAAGATGGATTGACACAGCTGCTGCAACTATGAGCTCAAACATAGGAATATCTGTGAGGATGGCAATGGACTAGGGGACTAGGGGGCATTTCTTTGTGTTGTGCGTAGGATCACTATGGGCCAGAACTAACTTGATGGCATCTAACAACACAGGCATTGAAATCCTACTGCTTTAAACAAACTCTTGATTGGATACAAAGTAAAGCCCTACTTATGTATGACTTGACTTAATAGCTAAGAATCCTTAAAGCCTAACTATCAAATTATCTTTTGTGTCATTGCTTAGTTTAGACATATTTCTATGAAAAGTATTTACTGGTTTCAGTGGTCTCTTTTCGCCCTATGTTATTATTTTTAAATGCCAGAGAGTCTATTTCATGTGACAGAGTAGAAACCCCCACAGGATTTTCTAGGTTATAATTTTTTAAGGAGTGGATTAGCAAATGTTTTTCCACGGAGAGGCCAATAAGTTTGAACCACCAACCTTTCACTTAGTAGCTAAGCACTTAACCAGTGTGCCACCAGGGCTGATTCTTTTCTCCCTAACACAATGCATTACTAGACTGTATTAAAATTAGGGGACCTTTCAGTGGCTGATGTTAGAAAGTCAGACTTGCTTTACAGTGAGAATGCTGTTTTTAATTACTTTATTGATTTGCTCACCTGTTAACTACACCAATGATTCCAAGTTTGACTGGGATAACCCTGCCCATCAATACATCCATGGCATCAGTACCCGCATCCATGAGATCAAGTTTAGTGATTACAGCTAAGGTTCGGCGTCCTGATAATACAAAAAAGAAAATCCATTAAGTATCAAATAAAGGAAATCTTCATTTATAATCCTATACAGTATTATCTCTGTCAGAATTTTGGTAATGCTTTGCTTAGAAATACTTTTTACCTATTTGCACATGTAATATACTAGCTCCTACAACTTTTCTATAAGTACTTTTTAAAGTTACATGAAAATTTATTCTTTTTTGAATTTTAACAATGCACAGAGTTCTGTCATTACTACCTCAAGATGCAGTCCCATTACTCCCCAAATTTTTCTTACACCAAGAAAACCTCTTTTCCATCCCTAGTTTTGCCTTTTCCAAAGTATTATATAAATAGAAGCATAGAGCATGTAGCCTTTTGAGTCTGGATTTTTTTCTGCTTGGTATAATGCTGCGGTTTTCAACCTGTGGGTCGTGACCCCTTGGGGGGGTGTCAAAGGACCCTTTCACAGGGGTCACCCAATTCATAACAGTAGCAAAATGACAGTTATGAAGTAGCAACAAAAATAATTTTATGGTTGGGGGGTCCCCAGAAGGGTCGCGGCATTAGGAAGGTTGAGAACCACTGGTATAATGTCTTTCAGTCTTTTGTGTTGTGTGTATCAGTAGTTTTATACTGTTAACAAGTGCTTGTTCCATTGTATGAATGCACTACAGTTTAGTGATTCTTTTGCCACTGGAGCTGTTTGCAGGTTTGGGGGATTATGAATAAAGCTGCTGTAAATACTTACATACAGGTTTTATTTGAACAGAGATTTTCATTCAACCTGAATAAATACCTGGGAGTAGGATTGCTGATTTAACTATATAAGAACTGCCCAGCTATTACCCAAAGTGACGGTACCATTTTACATTCCCATCAGCAATGTTTGAGAGTTCCAGTTGCTTAGAATATGTGCAGATTTACCTCTGGTACTTTCTCAAAGTTTTCTTATATTGCTCAAAATCTACAAAATCACCCATTTTCTTGATTTCATATTATTCTATTATTAGCAAATATTTTAATTTGGTTAATCATTCTTCCTATTGGCATTTGAGGGTGTTATTTTTGATACAACAAATAATACTGGGTTGGACTAGTTGCTTATATTTCCTAAAATTAAGATTATTCAATAAAAACAATGATGATTTTTATGGCTCAAGGTTGGCTTAAAAAATAAATTAGTGCATGTAAGATGCTTTAACAGTTTAAATACGACTTAAATCCTTTGATATAGTTTCTCTTTTAATCTAACCAAAGTAAACTAGAATCACTCATGCAGTAAAAATGTTTCATGAAAATGAAATTTTAAAAATTGCTTTTTAAATAATTCCAGCTGTCCTAATAGAAATTTCCTTTAGCAGACTTAGCACTAAAATGTCCTATTAAGTTTTCATTCAAAATTATAAAAGGAGGAAAAGAGAAACACGACAGAACCCGCTCACTGCTACTGCCATCAAGGCAACTCCGGTCCTTTAGGACCGAGAGAAACTGCCTGAGGGTTCTGAGGCTGTTCATCTTCACGGAACAGAAAGCATCATTTTTATCCCATGGAGCGGCTGGAGGGTTTAAACCGGTGGTGAGATTCATCTGGTTCACACTGGTTCGGCAGAACCAATACCTAATTTTTTATCGAGTTCGGAGAATCAGTTGCTAAAATGGCATGTGTTTCAGGGTTCTCTCTAAGGTGGATAGCTGGGCAGTGAACTAAAAAGAAAATCACAAATTTACATGTCTTAGACTTTCTTTAACATTCATCTGCACAACAGTGTATTCTGAGTGCCCATAGTAATATTCATTCAGTCTGTGAGTATAAAAAATTAGATAGAATTATGTTTGTAATATTTATTCATTTCATAAAACTCATAATACTTTTGGTGAAATATTAAGTTTTTATTCCCTTGTATTTATTACTTCAGTACGCAAACATGTAATATAAGGAGAAAGCATGTCAAATAACCAGAGGATGGCACGCGGTCATTTGTTTCAGCTTTGTATTAAACCTCAAATTCTCACAAGATATTATGAATGAATTATGCAATTCCTCAAAGTGTTCAAAGAACCAAAAATATTGTCATTATAACTTCTAAGTTCAAAAGAGGGTTTTCAAAGAACATGTTCAGAGAAGTCATCTGTTTCTAATATACCAAGCACAATGACTATTGTCTAAGTAGCCTACCTCTAAAGGAATGGGATCCTACTCTTACAGTGAAAAGATGATTAAGGATAAATCACAGTTGATGACATTGTCAGGTATTATTTAATATTTTTTTATTATTTAAAAATACTTGGGAGGGGAAGGGCTGATACCAAGGACCCAAGGATTCAAATAGAAAGAAAATGTTTTGAAAATGATGGTGGAGGGGAAAAAAAGAAAAAATGATGATGATGGCACGTATGTACAGATGTGCTGGATACAACTGATGTGTGGTTGTTATGAAAGTTGTAAGAGCCCCCAATAAAACTATTGTTTAAAAAAATTCTTATAATCTAATTTTGTGTACCACTTTTATTATTCTTATTTAAGTATCAACTGTACAAAATAATAACCTACCTTTTGATATATCATTTTTTTAATACTTAAAGCGATCATTAGGGCAGTAAACTAGTACTAAATTATTTGAACCCACTGATTTAAATTGCAAACTTGCAGTAAGCAGCCCAACACATAACCCACACCACCAGTGCTCCCTTCAAATAATCAAGTAAAAGGGTTATTGAGGTAAAACCTGCATTTCACAGCAGTAATAACCAGATTTAAAAAAAAATTTTGTTAATAACCAGATTTAACGAAGTTTTATATATATGTATGTGTACAGGTATATGTGTGTGTGTGGACACACATACTGAGATACACACGTCAAGTAGCACATACTGACACACATGTAACTCCTCAAAAAACTTTACTTTTATATTTAAGAATTTTCTCTGATGTATATGTCTTAACATTTTCTCCCTCTATAGAATGTAGCTACTCTTAATGACTATACCATAATTACCTACCATGATCATCCACTCAATGCTATTCATTCTTAGAAACCACCCATTAAAAAATCTAAATAGTTTTACTTAGACAAAGCAAGAAAGCCTTTTTGGAAAACCATTTGTTATTTAAAAATAATTAGGGGATCATCACAAATACAGACATTCTGTGATATACTTCTGCTTAGCCTGTACAGCATTTTTCCATTCTACACATCAAAATTTCTATTTGAAATTATAAGCAGTATAGGAAAGTATTAATTTCTTAAATCTGCATTAACATTTCTTTTCAAAATAAAACTTCCTTCCTTGAGGGTAAATTATCTTTGTAAATCAAGTATCTCATTAAATATTAACATCTGTCCTTACCATCTGGATCCACCTCTCTTGAAATTTTCAGAGCTTCTGATGTTGCCATATCTGTATTAGCAGCAGTTACGGCGAGGATAATGGAATTTGGATTACTGATAAACCGAAGAATGAGCTCTCTGATTTGGAGTTCGATATCCTTAGGTTGATCACCTACAGGCACCTAAACCAAACAGCGATGAACAAAGATCCAATAGTAAAAATCAACTGAGCGTTTTTATTTTTATTTTTTCATTTAATCCACAGAAAATAAACATCAATCCATTTATAGATCATTTAAAATTTTACATAAAGATGTATGTATTAATTTTATGGTCTGCAAAGTATAAAAACATAGCCCTTACAAATGTCAAGTTTACCCTTGTGCAAAAGGTACATAGCACAATCCATGTTAAAGATTGTTAAGCATTATTCTACATGTCACACTAGTCAAACAAAACAGTCCCAGATTTCACCCCTGTAGAGTTTACATTATATTGATGCAAGGCAGACAGTAAGTAAAAAATATAAATGCATATATATATATAAAGAGGCTTCAAAATTTTGTGTCAAATGGAATAAAACGCTAATGGAATTTTTCTATGAACTTTAAAAATTGCCCCCATATTAGTTGTTGTGTGCCACAGATTTCATTCCAACTCCTAGCAACACGATAGGGCAGAGGTGCACTGCCCCCATAGGTTTCCAAGACTGTCCTCTCTATTGGTGCAGATCGCCACATTTTTCTTCTGTGGCATGGCTGGTGGGTTTAAACTACTCCGCTTTTCACTGTGCTACCAGGGTTCCACATATATGTGAGAGCTTCAAAAAGTTCACGGAAAAAGAGAATTGGAAAACAGAAAATTTCCCCAATATACATACATATTGTCCAGATGGTGGTAAGAGTCATGGGAATAATAACTAGGCTATGATATTTAATTGTTTGTTATGTTTTGCTTTTATATAGTGCAGTTAAAGAAAACAACCTCACTGAGACTATGACTATAAAGAAGTAAAAACAACTGGGAGAGAGAAAAAATATGCCCATGCAGATATCTGGGGGAAGAACAATCTAGGCTGACAGAGCAATAAGGAGTCTAAAGCAGGACTCAGGATAAGAATAATAGAAATCAAATAGATCAAGCTGAGATTTGTAAATCACTGCAAGAGCTCTGGCTTTTACTCTTAGGTGAAACAAAAAGGCACTAGAGTGATTTTTCATCAAGGAATGAATGATGCTATCTAATTTTCACTTCAACATTCAAACTCTCGCCACCAGTTCAAGTCATAGTGACCCCATGTGCAACAGAACAACACTGCCTGGTCCTGCATCATCCTCACAATTGTCATTATATTTGAGCAGCCACTTTGTTAATCCACCTTTTTGAGTGTCTTCTCTTTTGCTGACCCTCTATTTTGGAAGCACTGGGTCATTCTTCAAAAATCGGTCCTTTTTTTTAATATGCCCAATCTCTTTTCGGTTTATCTTTTTTATTTCTGTTCACTTTTATCTACTCTATATTCAAAAGCAAGCTTCTACGTTCAAGTACAAGCACCACTCTGGCTGCTTAATAACGACTAGATGATGAGGAAGATCAGTTTTAGAAAGTTTCTGTAGTAATCCAGGTGAGAAATGGTAGCTATGAATTTGTAAAACATGATAGGATACTGTGTATATTTTAAAAGTAGGAAAAACAAGAGGATTTGTTGTCAGAGGAAATGTGATGTGAAATAAATACATAACAGAATGTCTCCAGTGTAATTAAGTCCATTTCAGCCTGTGTGATCCAAGGACTGTAAACATTAAAATCCAAGATCAGAGGAGGGAATTGTATTCGAGCTTAAATTCTGAGCACCTGATTTTCAGAAGACTATGGATGACAGTAAAAGCACAAAATCCATTTGCAGAATCCCCAAGTGGTTTAAGCCTCTAGTGAATTCCCTCTAACCACTGACCAGGGACATGAATAGCCTTGCCCTCAGACAGTGCATTGGAACGTGGATATAGTATGGTTAAAATTTAACACCTTAACATTTGTTTTCCCTTTTGACCCATTTTAAATTTGGTCTGGTTTTTACTATTTTCTGCATTATTTTGGACTGAAGTTTTTCTGTTGTGGTGGTGGCGGTATGTGTGTATGACTGTCTTATAAAACTTGGGAAAGGTAAATTTATAGAAATAGTAAGTTGATTAATAGTTTCTTAGGGTTATAGCAGGGGAGGTGTGGGGGAAATGAGGAACTAATAATAACGAGGACAAGGAAGTGTTCTAAAGGTGATAGTGGTGATTATTGCACAACTCTTTTTAATATATTTCAACCATTGAATTGTATGGCATAAGAATTACATGTCAGTAAAACAGTTTAAAAAATGTTCCCAAATTTTTTGGCTTATATACCATATATACTCATGTATAAACAGAGGTTTGCAGCACATTTTTTAATGTAGTTTTTGTGGTAAAATTAGATGCCTCGGCTGATATTCAGGTCGGCTTATACTCGAGTACATAAGGTAACTGGTAAAATAGAATCGCTGTTTAATGGGATGGGAATAACAAAAAAGGGCTAAAGGTAGCCTAGAAAAACAATCAGGAGTTGAGTATAAGACAAGCCAGAAGTTTGAAATGCCTATTAGGTGTTTAAGTGGATGTGTCATGTCACGTAACCAGGTGAATATGCAAATTTGACTATCATCTGCAGACTAAGAATCATGTATTTAAAGCCATATGATTTGATGAAACTGTCAATAGGTTAAGTTTTATCTAGCAATGATAAGAGACCCAAGAGCTGAGCTCTGGAGCACTCACTGATGACAGTAAGAACAAGAAGGTAAGCCTGTAGGGTTGTGGTATCCTAGAAGCCAAGTAAAGGATATTTTTCAAGGGAGAACTGGACTGTGTTAGGTATTGCCTACAGATCAACTGTTTTTGCAAAAAAAAGCTGATACTTTCTTAGAGATTAAGAAAAACCCACATATGTTCAACTGAAAACAAACATTACCAAATCTACAATGGGCAACAACAATTCCTTACCTTGGTCATACCTGGCAAATCCACAAGTGTCAAATTAACAACGTTGGGTGAAAATATCTTAAGATGAATTGGTTCAGGGCTTACTCCCTAAAAATAAATTTTAAAATATTCAATTACAATCACATTAAAATAATAAACTTCATTTCAAGTAGAGAGACAGTACCTTCTTCTCAAAAACACAACTCATGGTGAGAGTATAACTGTGTATCAGAGCAGAAATGTGCTCCATAGTATTCAATAAATGGTTGCTCGGAATAGATATTACTGTACATACTTGAGTATAAGAATACATAGGAAATAATATAGTTAGCTATATAGGTTTATAATATACCATTATACCTATACCATTAATATAAACAATTCTCAATACAATTTCATTATTTTCTATTTCTTCTAAGCCAAGACAATTCCTTAATTATGTTTCATACACTTAGAGCTAAAGAGTAACATACCCCTCCTTATTCACATTTATTAGGTACCTGGTGTTCAGAGAAATAAGAGTTAAAGTTATCGAAATTACTTTGGTACCCAAACTTTCAATATTTAAGTGTCGAGAGTATGCTTAGTAAGGGATTCATCAGAATCTTTAGATTCCCAAATTCAAATAAAAAGAATTCATATAGTATTGGTATTATCTATATTTTCTTTCAACTACACTAAAAACTCCATTATAGATGAAAACAACATCCTTCCTCTTTACCACCAAGCTTCCACAAGTTTTAGGACTGGGTCAAGTACAAGTACTATGATGCTTATAAGAGAGAAATAGGTTTGAGATTTTGACCACACAACATTATAGTAGGAACACCCACTAATAGAGATATTAATGATTATGTTTTCTAGCTCTAAAAGAATGCCTACCTTATTATTTCCTGAAATTCTTTCTGTTTCATTTTCAATTTCTTGTCGAATTTCATCAAAATCTGTGTAGAGCTAAAAAAATGGAGGGACAAAGTACAACACTCAAAAGGAAAATTAACAAAATCTAATATACACACATTTTTCTGAAACAAAGATTTGTAATTTTGTGTGCTTTTCAAAGCTGCCTTATCTCACAAGAGTTAAGCATCTGTAAATTAAGAAAACAGGCAAGACACTATATCAACTACATCTACACATAAAAAAGTATTTTTTTTTTTAACATTTTATTAGGGGCTCATACAACTGTTATCCCAATCCATACCCACATCAATTGTGTAAAGCGCATTTGTACATCGTTTCTCAAAACATTTTCTCTCCATTTAAACCCCCGACATTAGGTCCTCATTTTTCCCCTCCCTCCCCGCTCCCCCCTCCCGCATTAAAAAAGTATTTTTATGTTATTTTTACATTATGTAGTTTTGTGTGGTTACCTTATTCTTGGTGTGAAGAAATTTACCCCATTCTTCCACTTCAACCCCTGGAAAAAGAAAAACTCATTTATTGGAAACTATAGAAATTACTTGTTAACTTTAAAGATTCAATTTTTCCATTAATTTTATGATCCATGTTGTTGAAACCTGTTATAGCTTTCATATTTAAAAAAAAAGTCACATACAGGCAGTCCCAAGAGTTACAAAGGAGATTCGTTCCTAACTATGTTTTAAAATCATCTAATTTGTAGGTGAAACAGAACAGGTTCATCAGAACAAGTGCATACAGTTCTTCTTTAGCCCTAGGTTAGTGAAGAAAAAGGCTCAAAGCTTTTTCATTGATTTAAAAACTGCACATTCAGCAGTGAAGGTGATTATAATGAAGACAATTTTGTAGTGAGTAGGTATTAAGTTGTTCCTAAGTGATGGCTATTCACACAACATTAAAGAGAATGTACGAGTTGTAAATTGGTTGTTGCATAACTTACTTCACATAGGGGAGCTAACAGGCTCTCCAATCACTTGAAATCTAGATACCATGAATAAAATTGTTCATGTCTTAGTGTATACGTAATCATTTATTCTATTAAAAGGCATAAATGTTATACATAATAGCATTACTACCGGTGAAAAGTACTCAAGGAATTCTGCTGAAACACACAAAAAGATAAATAAGTTTATACATATAACGCAAGATTTAAATTTTTGCAATATGTGAATGAAGCTGATCTAAACATAGATCTGTTACACCTGCATTTGCTAGGAAAATATACTTAGGGTATGCACTGTGTGAAGAGGGCTAAAACTTGGGAGAGCAAGTTTTATTCTCTTTCAGAGAATACAAAAATGTTTCATTATAGGCATAAATCTAACTTCTGCCTCTCTCAAACACAGTGATCTTGTTTTTGCTAAATTCAGAGTTTCACATTCTTAACAATTAAGCTTACTGAATAATCCAGTCAGGCACTTGAAATAAAAACAGACATGACTGAAAGTTATTGCTATAAATATCTACTGAAAAAAACAAAAACAGCGCAATTATTTGGTGGAATATGGTAAATAAATCTAGATCCTTTTTGCAAGTGAAATGCTCACCTACTTCAAAAGCTTAATACTTTCTTCCAAGAAGTCTCATTTGAAGGACTGGAATGATCTAGCCCAGGGGTCGGCAAGCTGCGTGCGGCTCACGAGCTATATGCAGCTGTTTTGGTATGTACATGTGGCTCTGAAGTCAAATTGAAAAAAAATTTTTAAAGAATATTATTCAGATAATGGTGGTTTTCTTCGTAAAAATATGTTTAAGGCTCTCAGATAATTTTTTAATTGTTTGAGGACAGGATTGGATCTTCCATCTCAAGTTTGCCGACCCCTGATCTAGGTGAACAAAGAGGCAGGGTCAGGCTATAACATATTAAAAGGGTGTGTTTAAATTACCTTACCATATAAAAGAGGCCTGGCTTCACAAGCATGTTTTAAAAACGAAACAAATTACATTCACGACCAAAAAAAGCTTGCATTTTGAGGCAATGCAAAAAGATAAGAAGAACCACTGACACCTGCAACCAATGTGGATTTGCAAATAAAAACGGAAGTAAAAAAATGCAGACAGCCTGTAAATGTACAGACGCACACATGCAGGCATGATGGTAAAAGGGCCAAAGACAAATGGATAAAGGGAACCTTTAGAAAGGTGTCTTGAGTTTTTCCATGTGGCCGGGTCTGTAGTTAAAGAGAAACAGCACAGAATGTTAAGTTTAGTGTTTACTACTAAAATTTTAAGCCTTTTTTAAAAATGTGCAGAAACCTAAAGACATTTCATATGCATACAGCATTCATTCAGAAATTACACGGAAATTAGAAGAATGTGCAAATTTTTAGAATGTGACATAAGTCAAACATGTTGTGTGCCATAATTTACGTTTAATATTTTTAAAGCAAACTTTTCATTACAATTATTGTTGGTTTCAAATTTTGATATAATTGGATTAAGATAATACCACACTTCAACAATGTGCCCTTAGATATTTGATAACCTAAAACTGAAAAAATGGATTGCCAAGAAAGAATTAACCAAATATACTAAACACATCTTTCACAGCATTAAGATGTAATAAATGTATACCACAACTTGCCCTATTAACTAAGGCTGAGCTTTATAAGAGGTTATTTTCTTTGAAATATACATGAAATTTAACAGAAGAAAGAAATGCTTCACCTTCATGGATTAAACCCAACCAAAGGGAAACTACTGCAGCTACTACAATCCCTTGTACAGAAAATTAATACTATCTTTTTCTTAATTCTTGTATACAATTTTACTTGCTTTTGGGGCAAATGATTATTTTACAAGTAGATAGTTTAACTAAATAGGGATAACAATTCAAATTATACCTATATTTTTAGGCATTTTCTATTAGGCATATACCAAAACTAAAAATCAAATCTGCTTGCCATCAAGTTGGTTGCAACTCATAGAAGCCTTCTATAGGCTTTCTGAGGCTGCTAAGAAGCAGACAGTCCCTCCCATCTACTGCAGGAGCCGGTGGTTTGGAACTGTGGACTTTGCACCCAGCAGCCTGAGGGTTACCCCACAATACCACCATAGCTCCTTATTAAGCATATCCATTTGTATAAAACAAAATCATTTTGTTTTAGTTCAACAACTATTCTCTTCTCAATATAAAATCTAATAATCTTCAAAATATCCATTAAAATTGTTAAGGGTAAAATACATAGCAGAATTTTGATCTTCAATTAGCATGCCACTTGTAGATTCTAAAGAGGAAATCTGAGGAAAGCATAATTCTTTACAAACATATAAAAAGTAATCATAGAGTGCAAAGTTCAAACTAAACAATTACCCCACTTGAATTTCATTTTGTTTGAATTTAACAAATTCTCTCACATTGGCAGAGTGAGGTCAAGCTGAGTAATTTCAAATAACAATCCCAGAAATCTACATATTGACACCTCAGCTATCCTACATAAGTGAGAAAAATGAAGGATTTCAGATTTATGTAGTTTTCTGCTAATTAAATTATACATACTTAATGAAATGTTTTATTTTAGCCAGTATCTAAAATGGATTACCCTTCATGTCATTTTACAATGTTCTTAGATTAACCAATTAGTGGTAACTTGGGCCTTTTTTACATAACAGCCCTTTCAAGAGAAAACCACAAACACACACAAAAGACCCTATACAAGGTTTTCGAGGCTTGTAAATCTTCCAAAGTCAGGGTGTATGGCCCTTAGACAGGTTTTGGAAATCTTCACAGTAGTAGACAGCTTCATCTTCCTCAGAGCAGCTGGTGGGTTTGTACTGCCAACCGTGCCGTTAGTGATCCAACACTTAACAAGAGATGAAGGATTCCCTCCACCCCCCCCCTTTTGTTTTTCAAGTTCTGTCTAATTATGTGTTCCCCCTTTCCCTCTGTAGTCTTAACCCTCTCTGATGCCATATTCCATACTCTTCTATGTTTATCTACTTCACTGTTTCTAATTTCCTCTGGGACAGGCTAGAGCTCTTTATCCCAAAGATAAAGAGACTGCGATGAGAAACTAAGGAAATATCTTATAAGACACATTTAGTGCTCAGCCCTGGTGGCTTAGTGGGCTTCTATCACAAGGTGAGCAGTTCAAAACTACTAGCTGTTTCACGGGAGAACCACCAGCTTTCTATTCCCTAAAGAGCTACAGTCTTAGAAACCCACAAGGGGAGTTCTACTATGAGTCAGAAACGTCCAATGGCAGTGAGTTTTTTTATTTTATGTTCTGGATAACTTAAATGAATTATTTTAACTAAGTGTTTTGTTATTTTTCAATAGGAAAAATAAGTCTTCTGCTTTTCGGGGACAGTAGATACAACATGTAGGACAAGCATATTTTTGAACAACTACCAAGAAGTGAAGTCAACAAAACAGAGTGGACACACAAGTAAAGAGATAACAGACACTAATACTTCAATAACTAAAATGCACACCCTTTTCTAACAACATTTTATCTAAGGAAGCAATAACCACATTTGCAATTACTTTTCTGAGAGTTAGGAAAATATCTGCACTTTCGGTTACTGGAAAAAAGAAAAATAAGATAGAGACCTAGTACCAGAGAGTACCAGATCTAGTACCTTATATATTTGATGGTGAACCACAGAATAATTCAAGATGATTATATTCAAGGTTCTGAATTTAATAAAGAAGTATTACAGAAATGCAAAGGGATATGTAATATACCTAGATGCTATCAGTAAGGCTCCTACATATCCTCTGGCAGTCTATCCAAAATTATTTTTGTTAAAATCTGCAACTTGTCATAAATTATACAACTTCATTGATTTTTTTTTACAACTTCACTAATTTGCTTCAATAATTTCCTTTTTAGAATTGTACTAAATGCTCAACACAAATGTAGTTTTTAAAAAAATCACATCAACCAAGAGCTCCTATAATGAAAAAAATCTCAAATACAGAAATTAACTTCAGTTTCATCAATATTATCCTATCTTAAATCAGAAAACAAGGCGTAATGAAGCTGCTCTAAAATATAAAATAAAAAGATCTTTGCAACTGAGAAACAAATATGGTACTCTGCTACAAGATAATTTAATAATTAGAGTTACTATACACTTTTATAAAAATCTGAGCCAAAGATGGAACAAAGCAAGATTAAACAAACTCAGGCTCTCACCAGAAACTTAAAACCTCATCTATACACGTTAAGTATGAGTAATATTGCATACATAATAAGCAACTTAAAATCTGCTAATAGAGAGCATTTCTTAAAAGACATTCAGGTTTAACAATAGCAATAAACTGCCATATAAAAAAAGACCGTGAATATTTTATTTTAATACACACATTTACTATCCATATGCTCTACCAAAGAAATATCCCAGTAGTGTTTAGCTGAGACTAAGCCTGAACATGGGATCCTCAAAACTAGGGGGGTCAACACAACTTGGAATCCAGTGGGCAGAAACTGGTTTGGTTTGCTTTCCTTACTGGTAAGCTTTTGCTTCAGAATAAAAACTCCTCTTATAGAAAAGATTGACTACAACAAAGGGAAAGTAAATCAGTTAGCCGACCCTAGCAGACATAATATATTTTAAAAACCCTTGGTACCATCAAGTTGGTTCCAACTCATAGTGACCCTATAAGACAGAGTAGAACTGCCCCTGTGGTTTTCGAGAGTGCACATCTTTATGGGAGTAGAATACCTAAAATTTCTCCAATGGGAACTGGAGACCTTGATGCTAGCAGCCTACCAGGGCCCTAGACAAATAGTTAAGACCAGCAAAAGGAAGATGAGATAACATCACTCCGCTGAAAAGCAAAGCCATTAATTTTATTCACCCTAAAATCTTTTCAACTAGATCTAATGATTTAAATCAGGGGGTCCTCAAACTTTTTAAACAGGGGGCCAGTTCACTGTCCCTCAGACCGTTGAAGGGCTGGACTATAGCTAAAAAAAAAACTATGAACAAATTCCTATGCACGCTGCACATATCTTATTTGGATAAATGTCCTCCATGGGCTGCATGTGGCCCGCGGGCCATAGTTTGAGGACCCCTGATTTAAATTCTAAACCCACCCCTACCCCACCCCCCAAAAATTGATGTTTTAAACATTAGGGGCAAAAAAGTTAACACAGACACAAAAACTGACTCGTTTATGGATTGTGTCACTCACTCCACCATTAAAATTCCTATAAAGAGCATTAATAGACTATTCTCAAAAGTTTACTCATTGTCCATTCAAAACAAAAATCACTTTTTTTTTAAATTTTAAAGAAAAAGTACATATTCTTTTTTTTCACAAGACTTCCCAACTCCCAATATGGATGTAGTCGCTAATTTCTAAACTGTTCTTCAGTTAATATTTTAAAAACAGATCAAAATTTAATTTTAAAATAATTCTTACAGCAATTCTAAAACTTACCATTTTCTTCTCCTGTTGTTTTTCGTTTGTCTTCTGGTGCAACATGGACAAGCTGCAGGATGAGTGGCCTCCGGGTGACAATACCAGTGCCTCGGGGAAGCAGGTCCCTGCCCACTAGGCTTTCTAGCACGGAGCTCTTTCCACTGCTCTAAAAATAGAAGATACAAGAACAATATGAGTCTCTTACCAGAGTTTTAAAAACTTTTTATTGTGAATTAGGTGAAAGTCACAGAGCTAATCCTATTTCCATTCAGCAGTCCACATACCATGTCTCAAGTCATCAACATTTTTGAAACCCATAAGACTATGTATAAAAAAAGGCAAAGAAACTGTACTAAGAAAGAGTAGAACAGAGACTGTAAAAATTTTTCATAATTTTCTATTGCTTGATCTTTATTTCTCAAAAAAATAAAAAAAATTCCAAAGCAGAGAATGTAAAAGCCTAACCCTAATCCATAATTCTACTGTTTATAAAGCTCTTCCAGTCAGGTTTTCAAAAGTTACATGAAATTTGTATATATTAAAAAAACCTATAATATGTAGGCACTTTAAGTGGGTCAGTATTAGATTTCTCTAACCTGCTTTTACTTTTAATGTAATTACAGGGCTATCATGCCCTATCAATCAGTACAGTAACTTCTGTTTAATGGTTCAAAAATAAGTGTTCCCAGTTGAGGCTATTTAAATGGTTATCAGTTTCTGCTACCACTAACTATGCTGCAGTAAGTATGCTTGTACATATAACCTACTCACTTACTCTATTACGTTAGATCAATGCATAAAAAATGAAATTACTGTGATTAAAGAACATAGAGATCATAAACATTTATCGACACCAACAATCTACGTGTCACAAAAACACACGAGTTCAAGAATTTACTGCATGCATCTCTATTTGCACTGGGTTTTACCACCTTTCTGAATCTGCTACTAAGAAAGATGAACAATGACGGTGCATTATTATTATATATTTTTTTTTTTTTTTCAATTGAAGTCAAGCTTCTTTTTGCTTATAGGCTTTGTGTGAGGGAGCTTCAGAAAGCTCGTGGAAAAATCCATTACTTGTTAATCCCATTTTTCCGTAAACTTTTTGAAACCCCCTTGTATTTCACCCTCAGTGGTTTATCTGTTCAAATCTGATTTTTTGCATATATATATTGCATGAATCCATACTGGTATAAACAAACATTTGACTAAGTCAATGGGGAGAGAACACATACATCCCATACAGAAGGATTCCAAATAATTTATACAGCTACTGCACTTTCAAGGAGGACATGGGAACTTAAGTTCCTACTCCTTAAGTAAGTGCTGCAAATAGTAACTTCCTTCTAAAGAGTATAGTGTGGAAATAGGTTAGAGGGAAGTAACCTTACCGTAAACACTACCTCAACTCAGCTAACGTGGGTCAAAGAAAACAGTGATTAAGTCATGCTGGTAGTCATGTTGTAGTATGTACCCTTGATCTAATGTGATCAAAATAGCACTTTACCTCTCTCTAACCATCCCTCTCCAAACCCATAATCCCAGTCTAATCAAGAGAAAACCCTTATGTATACTGAGATGCATCCTCCCAAATATCTGACAGCATTCCTCAAAAAAGGTCATGAAGAACCGATCACAATGATTTACATACAACACCCCTCCACCCCGACAGAGGGATGAACAATAAAAACATGGGTGAAGGGAGACAGCGGACGGTGTAAATAAAATAAAAATAATTTATAAATTATCGTAACCTTTGTTTTGCCTAACTTGGAGGTTTCCCAGAGAGAAAAAGCGGTTATGTTGAATGCATTCCTAGAAAACGGAATGGCAAATGATCAAACTGCTGCCTCGTGCTGTAAATTATTTATTACCATAGGGTAAGCAACAGAACTACCGAGAGCCTGGGTAGAAAAGTGGAGGAAAACATTACTCTTGGAGATAAGCGTTTTGAAAAAATTCTGTGTATAAACAAGAAACTTAGCTGTACAGATGCTGGGAGAGAACACTGCTCAGAAAAAAAAACAACTCACAAAACTTTTACATTTTCCCCTCTACCTAATTTTAGGTATGACACAAGCAGGCAGTGTTGTAAATGGACTGGGCAAGGCTGACGGTACGCCCCAACACGGAGTCAATGTGTGAAGACAGAGAATGTGTTTTCTTTTTTTTTTTGGCTACAGGAATTTCAAGGAATCTCTGCCAAACCACTAGCAGACCATGAACTAAAGCAAGAGAGACATCACAAACGCCACATGACAACTCCAGTCTTTACAAACAAAATACTTTAAAGAAGCAAGCAACTACAACACACAATAAACAATAACACACTACAGAGGAAAAATCTGATTGTCGGAATTACCACATATCATATTCAAAAATTTCAGTTTTCAAGAAATGAAGCATGTAAAAAAAAAAAGTACCAACTGTACATGGGGGAAAAATGAATAGCAACTATACCTATAGAGACAGACATTAAACTTATTACACCAAGTCAACTTTAAACATAACAACTAAAAGAAACCAAGAAAACAATGTCTCAACAAATAGACTATAAAGAGATAACCATTACAAAAAGAAACTAAACTGAAATTATAGAGCTGAAAAATAAAATAACAAATAAAAAATTTGCCAGAGGTTTTCAAGAGAAAATGAGAGGCAGAAAATGAAATGAACTTGAAGATATATTCAAAGTATCCAGTCTGAGGACCAACAGATAAGTAGAATAAAGGAAAAAGAGTCTAAGACCTCTATAGATAACATGAATAAATACCAACTAGAGTCCCAGAAGGAAAGGCAAGAAATATTGGACTGAGAAAAAAAAGTACGGGGGCTACCCCTGGCTTCTTAAGGCTTCATTCAGCAGGGAGGAGGAGATTCTAATTCCACACCAGCCCAACCCTGATGGCCACAAGGCAGAAAAGTCAGACATGCTTCCTCCCTCCATCCTTCTTTGACCCTCTACTGAAAGCACACTTTCCTCCCACTGTATTCACTTCTCTGCTGGATTCAATAATCCACGGCAATGGCTACCCAGAACTCAAAGACGATATGCATGATTGTGAGGATTTATTAGAGAAGTTAACAAGTCAGGATCAGAAAACATTAAGGATACAGTCTTTGGTCCACAACAGTGCCAGCGGTCAAGTCTCTCTTTGGTCCTCAGTCTCTCAGCCTTGTGGTCTCTTGGGCTCTGTGACAGTTACATGATCTCCTGTCAACTTGAGCGAAGGAGTAGAGTCTAGCCTGTCAATCATGTCATAGCCCAGTGATGCCTCTGTGTGGGCATGGCTTTCTCCTGAGGATTCTGGGAACTCCTGTCTTCCTCCTTGGAGTGGGGGGGCACAAACTGCTACACATTCCTGTGAACAAGCCACATGAAGCTACTATGCTGATGGCAGCCAGAACCCTGGAAATGGAAGAGCCACGTGGAGACCCGCACCAGGGCTGAAATGCTTCCACCGCCACTGGATCCACAACTGGCCTGTCATCTTCCTGCATTAGGCATCATTGCATATGCTGTGTGAGTCTAGAGAGTTAATTGATGGACTAGTATTGGATCTGGGCTAATATCAGACTTACAAACTTGAACTGGACTGGGCTGGGATGTTTTCTCAATATACAATTGCTCTTTGATATAAAGTTCTCTCTTACACAGACATGAGCAACTTTACACGCTTCTAACTTGTTCTGTGGGCTGAGAAGCCTGCTGCTCTGTCCCTCTGCCGCATGAGGACGTTAAAAGCATTCGGAGAAAAGTGACTTGCCACATCCAGGGTTAAGATTAATAATCGTTTTATTATCAGAAACGATGAAAGCCAGAGAAGCTGTAGGGCAACATACTAGAAGTGCTGAAAGAAAGAAAATTGTCACCCAAGACTATCTATCTGACTTAAGGTTGGTACTTAATATCAAGATGGCAATACTCCCCAAAATGGCCTACAAATTCAATGCAGTCATTATCCCAACAGGCTTGTTTCCAGAAGAAAAAAAAA